GCAGCACCCGCTGCCCGGCGTGCACCGCCACCGCTTGCGGCGTCACCGTCACCGCGGGGGCACCTGGGTGGGGAGAGGGATGCGGGCAATGCCGCACCATCCCAGTGGCGCTGCGGCCCTTCCCCAGGTGTTGGGGGTAATCTGGGGGGCCGAGGGGTGACATGATTTGCAGTTCCCCAAAAGGAGGGTAGAAAAAGGGGGCAACACTCACTCTGCAGGGCCAGGATGACAACCTTTGCTGCTGTGCCCGCATCGTTCTCCGCCACGCAGCGGTAGTGCCCCACGTCGGTGCTCTAACAGTACCGATAGCATTACCGCAGCGCTCGGCTTTGCTGTGAAAGGTCCCCAAAATGCACTGGCACCCCCCAGGCCCCACTCACCCCCACGGCACGGATGGCCAGGGAGCCGTTCCGCAGCTGGTGCAGGCGCCCTCCAGCTGCCACCGGTACCCCGTCCTTGCTCCAGCGGATGAGGGGTGCGGGGTGACCCCGAGCATCACAGCTGAGGAGGGCATCGCCCCCGGGGTGCTCCACCTGGTATGTGCTGGGGTCCCCCCATATGATGGGTGCCTCTGGGGAAGGGAGAGGGGTGGCAGAGGAGGGGGGCTGGCTGGGCACCCCGGTTTCCCCACCGGCACCTACCTCTGACAGAGACAAAGGCAGTGGCCCTGATGGCACCGGCGCTGTTCTCGGCACGGCAGACGTATGTCCCACTGTCGGCACTGGTGGCTGCCTCCCGCCGCAGAGCGCTCCGGCCACTCTGCCCTGACACACCGTCTGGAGGGTGCAACCCCCCCAAAAAGCATGGAGGGGAACCAGCTAGTTATAACCCCACACAGCCAGTCATCCCAGCACCCCGGGGACCCCGAAAGGTGGGAAAAGGACAGGGATGGAGCCAGGATCACATTCTCCCCCCAAGCTCAGCATCCTCTGCCTGCGGTCCCCCAGCCACGCACCGGTGACAAGCTGCCCATTGGCCATCCAGGAGATGCGGGGCTGGGGGTTGCCCACAGCGGCACACACCAGCTCCAACCTCTCGCCCCGGCTCAGGGTGACATCTCCGGGCAGGCGGGTGAAGGTGGGCAGGGTGTGGATGGAGAGGGAGAGGCGGCGGACGGCCCTCCCGGCCGAGTTCACCGCAGCGCAGGAATAGTTCCCGGCATACCCTTCCCACATGGGGGAACGGGAGGCTGAGACTTGGGTTGGGGGTCCAGCTGCAGCTCTGGCTCACTGGGCTATGGCTCTGCTGGTTGTTGTGCACCCCAAAAAGCCAAGGTTCGGCCACAACCACTTTTTCCAGCCCACGTTAGCAAAACCACACTGCCCCGAGCCGCCAGCCTGTTGCAAAGGACTGCACGGGGCTCTCCCTCTGCCAAATATTTTTTGCAAGCAGCCAGGGGCACGGCAAGGTGCAGAACAACCCAGGCTTTCTTTCTAGCAGCAGAAGACACTCGTTTCTCGGCTCTCCAACCTTACACCTAGCTTGGCTGCAGGAGGTGGTGGTGCTCACCTGGACAGCCTGGAGCAGCAGCTCCCCGGAGGGCAGGATGGTGGCCTTCCCCCCGCCGCCCCACACCGGGACTCCCTCCCGGCTCCAGGACACGCGTGGCTCGGGGACACCATGGGCGGCACAGGGCAGCAGCACCTCCAGCCCCTCCAGGACAGACAGCTCCAGCGGGCCGGCTGCGATGATGGGGGGCACTGGATGGGGCAGGAGGACAGGGACTTGCTCACACCTCGACAGCCACGTTTCACTGTGGGGTGTTCGGGAAGGAGCCGAGCAGAGGAGGGGGGCAAGCACTGGAGCCCAGCTGCTGCCTTACCTTGCACGATCAGCCTGGTCCTCCCTGCAGCGGTGCCCGAGGGGTTGCGAGCCACGCACAGGTAGGTGCCCGCGTCCCCTGGGGAGGCTCGGAGGAGATGCAGCTGCCCGTTGGGGAGCACCTTCAGCCTGGGCCCTGCGGGGACGGGCAGGAATGAAGGGTGGGATGGGGCAGCGCAGCCGTGCCGGGGTGCGGCCGGATGGTGTGCGAGGCCTGCTCCCCCTGCAGAAGCGCCCCTTTCTCGGGGAGCCCCTGGGGAACGGCTCCAGCGGCCGCTGCACCCACCTTGGATGGCAGCTGGGAGCCAGGAGGACCCATGCACAGTGCCACCCAGCATGTTGCTGGGGCGCCTACAACCCCCAGGCACCCAAATCGTCCCCCAGGCAAAGGCCGGCAAGCAGCGGGGGCTCTGCCAGCCTCCGGTGGGCTCCTGCTCACCTCCAGCGATGCCGACACCATCCTTCTGCCAGGTGACCTCTGGCCGGGGGACCCCAGTCACCTCACAGAGCAGCATCGTACTGGTGTTGACCATCACCATCACCATACCGGGCAGGGGCTTCAAGGCGGGGGGCTCTGCGGGCGGAAGGGAAGTGCTGCCCATCGTGTCCCCCCCAGGTTGGGTCACGGCACAGGGAGAGGGACCCCCAGGAGCTGGACCCCCAGGGGCCATGCGTACCGTGCACCACAAGCCGGAGGTGTTTGCGGGCTGTGCCAGCAGCACTCCTCGCCGTGCAGGTGTAGCGTCCGGCATGTGTGGGCAACGCCTGCCTGATCTCCAGGGCCCCTGGGATGAGGACAGGCAGAGGGGAGGCAGTGGGAGAGCTGGCAGGGACCCACCGCCGCGCTGGAGCCGGACCGCCCTGTGCCCGTACCTGTGGGCAGGACGCGGTAGCCCCCTCCTCGGCTGCCCAGCTGAGCCCCCTCCTTGCTCCATGACACCACGGGGGGGGGCACGCCGGAGGCATAGCAGGTGAGGACCGCGGGGGACAGCCGGGTGACAATCACATCCGTAAGGTCATCGGCAATGGTGGGGGGCACTGGAGAGGTGAGGGAGGGGTGAGAGAGGGAGGTGAGCGGGGCTGCACGGGAATGCTGAAGGGGATCCCATCCCCATGTACGTGGGCACAGGTATTTCTATTTCCCTCCCACCACCATGTCCAGTCCTCTAGAGGGGACCCAACCCCACGGGGGGTGGGAGCACACCCACGTCACGCCTGAGGTGGTGACAGACCCCAGGAAAGCCACTCCTGGCAAGACCCAAAGGCCCCAGGACCTCACCGTGGATGGACACGAGGAAGACCTTGCGTGCCTCTCCGGCGGCGTTGGTGGCGATGCACTCGTACCACCCCTCATCCTGGGAATCGGGGCTGGCGATGAGCAGTGACCCCGAGGACTGCAAGCTGTGCGGGCCACGCACGCGTCAGGGTCATCCCCTGCCCCACAGGGAGGGGGCAAATCCCACTCTATGGTGGGACCTTTCAGTGGGCGAGATGGCCGGTGCTGCGAGTACCTGTAGGCGCCAGGGGGGAGGTGTGGGTTCAGGGGGCGGCCGTCCTTCTCCCACCTGATGTAGGGCTCGGGGGATCCCCCGGCATCGCAGCGCAGCGCGGCCGGCTGCTGAGCCAGCAGGGTGAGGTTGGAGGGTCCGGGAGCGATGGCAGGAGGGACTGTGGAAGGGCATGAAGGCAATGAACAGAGGACAGCAGCACATCGTCGCACGGATGAGAGCAGCCCAGCGGCCGTGTGTGGAGTAGAGGGGGTTGAGCCCAGGAGGGATCTGCGTGGCTCTTCCGCTTACCCAGGACGTGGAGGTCCAGGCTTCGCCGGTCGGAGCCAGCGGGGCTAGATGCCATGCAGAGGTAATAGCCCGAATCCCGGACCTGAACGGGGTCGATTTGAAGAGAGCCGTCCGGCAGGAGCTGCAGCCTGGGGAGGGAGAGCGATGGAGCCCTGTGGGGCTTCTGCATGGCCAGGCTGCAACGCATGGGGACACACAGCTGGGAAGGTGACATGTGACATTGCAGCCAGATGTAGCACATGTCCGCTGAGCTGCCATGGGGACAGAGCACAGCCCTTCACGGGGTGACAGTGCCATCCCGGCTCCAGGCACACCAAAACACCTATTGATGTGGAGGGTGGCACGATCCGAGCGCCAACTCCTGGTGCCATCAACCCACAGATCCTCATACCTGTTGTTCCCGCGAAGGGGCAGGAGCCGGCCATCCTTCCACCACGTCACCCGGGGCACGGGCCACCCCTCTGCCCGGCACGGCAGTACCGCTGAGCCATTCAGCAGTGCCCTCGCCTCCTCGGGACCCGGCTGGATCTCTGGGGCCACTGCGGCAGTGCCCAGCCGGCACCGGAGAGAGTCAGAGACAGCGCTCAGGGGATGGAGAACATCAGCCCAGACCAGTACTGGAGACTGGGCATCATCCAACCCTTCTTCCCATCACCCCAACCTTAGACCACCCGCTAATATTGCACATCCCTGAACTAACAGGGACAGAGCTGATACTCGCTGCCAGCAACGCCCCGTGGCAGAGCATCATCACTCACCGTGAACCTCCACCTGCACACTCAGGCTGGTGTCCCCCAGCGCATCGGTGGCCCTGCAGCTGTACTCCCCACCGTCCGCCACCCCCACGGACAGGATCTGCAGGAAGCGCCCCTGGGCCAGGACCTGCCTGCGGGCATCCTCCTGACAGCCCCGGGGGAGACCCCATCAGCACACATCGCCCCACATCGCCCCTACCATGAGCAGGACGGGGCTGGCCAAGGTGCATCCCAGCCGCTGCCCGTGCCCAGTCCCACGTCCCATCACGCGTACCCGCAGCGGGGAGCCCTCCCGGTGCCACTCGATGTGGGGGGATGGCACGGCATCTTCAGGGCACTCCAGAATGAGCTGCCCCCCTGCCATGGAGGTGATGCTGTGGGTTTCTCCAACACTTGTGATGCTGAGAGGTGCTGTGGGACATGTGCCAGGTGAGTTCAGGGGGTGCCATGCGGGTTGGGGACCTCCATACCTGTCCCCATAAGTCATGCATAGCTCCCCGGCTCTGCCGGGTCTCAGGCTGTGCTCCAGATCCCGCCA